ACCAGGAAAAGTTGGAATCGTATTTAAGAAGCCAGAGGTATCCTAAAAGGAGCGGGTGTGATGAAGAATCCAGGATGAGAAATTGGATTTGTTCCACATGGGTGGCGTCGACAGTGAGGATAAGTGGAACAGTTTGCCCTTCAATCAATCCAGTTGACAGGGGTGAGCCGTCCAGTGAGTGGACTGAGATAGGCAGAGATAGGTGCACAGTGGGGATTTTCCATTTCCTGACGAGTGAGGCGTCTAGGAGGCTTTCGGCAGCACCTGAATCAATAAAAGCCGAAAAGGAGATTTTAAAAGAATTCCAGGACAGAAGCACAGAAAGAAACTGACCCGAAGGCACAGAAGAAGGGGAGGAATTGCAAACTGTGGTAGAAATTGAGCGCGCAGGTCGGGTACTGGCAGGTTTAGTGGGACAGGAGGAAAGAAGATGTCCTGGAGAGCCGCAGTAGAGCCACAGTCCTTTCCGACGTCATCTGTCCTTCTCCTCCAGAGTAAGTTGGGTACGAGACACTGCGGGTTGCCCTGGTGGTAGGGGAGGGGAGCCTGCATCCTCCTGGAGATGTTCTGTCTTCCTGCCCTGAAGGCGAGCATCTAATTCAACCACCTGGGAGATTGCGAGATCCAGCGAGTGAGGGCTAAGAGGAATAAAGACTAGGTGGTCCTTCAGATCCTTGGAGAGACCCTTATGAAATTGGCAAATAAGAGCTTAGTTGTTCCAGATGGAGGCAGTGGCCAGAGTCTGAAATTCAATGATATAGTCCTGCAGGGGTCGTGGTCCCTGTTGGTGTGAGGACAGGCGGAGATTGACGAGGACAGTCCGGAATTTCTCGATGAAAAGGTAAAAATCCAAAAGTTCAGGAGCTGCTCTGGACAGTAGAGCTGTGGCCAGAGCCCTAGCTGTAAGGAGCAAGATGATGAATCCAATTGCTTCACGATTAGAAGGAAAGCGTTCCGGGTGCATCTGAATGCATAAGCAGCACTGAGTGATGAAACTCCGGCATTTCGCAGGATTCCCGTCAAACTTGTCAGGAGGAATCAGCGGCAGGGCTGTAGCAAGCGGCGAGGCAGCAGAAGCTGCAGGAGCAGGTAGCAGGGCAGGTGCCTGGACAGGCGCTGGTGCAGGGGTTGGGGCTAGAGAAGCCGAGAGCCGAGAGCCGAGAGACCTGATCCGTGAGGAGCTGAAGGGAGTGATGAAACTGGGTCAGAGCTTGCAAGTGCTGATTAAAGAGGGAGGATATAGACTGTAGGTCCACGGGGTCCATTATTAGGGCCCAGTATTCTGTCACGATTGACCCGCTGAGGAAACGGGAAGATGAACCCTATGCGGTACCTTAGGAGGGCTAGACAAGAGGTGAAGTCCGAGAAAAAGGTAAGCTAGTAGGTTTCCAATCCAGAATAGGGCAAGGCTGAAGTCGTAGTCTAAAGGCAGTTCCAGAATCCAAATGGTGTAGGTCAACGAGAAGGCTTCCTAATCCGATGGGGCAAGACAGTAGACATAGTCTAAGGCAAGTTCCAAGGTTTGTAACAAGGAGCGAGTAAGAAACAGAATAAAAGGCAAGGTAGGAGCTCAAAAGAACGACCAATACCAGGCAAAGAGCAGAGGGTGCAGAAGGGCTTAAGTATTGTGCGAGGAAGAGGGTGTGTTGCTTGATGGGGTGACGTGGTTGGCTGATTTGCAGGAGTGGTGTCGTTTGTTCAACAGAAGTGTTCAGGGCTGGGGAGTAATTAGCAAGGGTGCGTTTCGTGTGGGAATGTGGTAGGCAGAGTGTGTGACAGCAGAGTATGTTTTAGGTTAAGTGTTTAGATCTGAGTGTAAACATGACAGACCTAATTTAAAAAACACTTCATTTGATTTAATTAGCACTTTAGCTGTGACCCTCACCAGGGGCAGACTGAAATTGGTGGATGGGTGATTTTCAGTTTTCTAAAACTTTATATCAAATGGGGTATCATTACCCCCTGTAGATTATTACATGTGCATTTTTTATCTTACATGTTTTTAAAAGGATACCATTATTCAGATGCATGATCTGTATTTTTGTCCTTTTTTGTGATAGAATAGAATACATAGAATTAATGGCAAATACTGCTCTGTGTAACAAATAATTAAATGTTTATAATTTAATAATTAAAATGTATTATATCTTTAAAAGTTTCTATCTGTCTGTATATATGTATTGTTTTCTTTATTTGATCCCTCACGGGATCAATTAAGTATCTATCTTTATATGTAAATTAGATCTTATGACCTGGTGGTTCAAAAGCAAACCAAAGCATATCAAAGACTTTGAAATGGTACCAGACCTGATGCCTTTGCACATGGAGTTCAGCATATATGTAAGACAGGGGTAACCGACTCATTATCTGTTTTTCTTGGATATGTCTTAGCACCACGTGCCTTAAAGTCTAAGAGTGTTGATATACTAAAGAGATTTATCTGCTCAAGTTGATGATGAATGGCAGCCTCTGTTAGTCTAGCCTCTGATATTTACCGTAAGTATTCAGGTGTCTTCTTCTTCTATAGTTTTCCTTTTTATATCCTGGTACTCCTCTCACAGAATCCCCTCTTTGTGAACAGTTATTATGCATAGCTCATGGAGATTGTCATGTGAAAACAATCTATTACACATACAGGATTTGCCGTTAAAATAGAAGGTACACATATAAAGGCAAAATATAATATTCTTCAGGATTGATCAAACCCTAAGGAGAGGAACTTTTGTGTGAATGTTTTCATTATAATAAATTAACTAAAATACAATCAGGCTAAACCTAAAATATGTTAATCATAATGAATGAATGTTTCCTGACCTTAACTCCATTAAAGATTGTTTTAGTTAATCTTGACATAAAATTGTAACCACATAACATACTGTATGATGTACAGTAGGAACCTAAAACGTTATATTGGACAGCAACAGATGGTGATACACTTCTAATATTGGTTAACATAGTATCCAGAAAATGTGAATCTGTAATTGCTAATAAGGCACTTTGGATGAGACGTGTCTACAGTAAAATGCCATTCAACGTCCTAATTTGACGGTTACTGAATTTTCATATTCATTTACTGTATATTGATTCTTTCTTAATTATATGAAATTGTCTAGATGTCTATATAATTTTGACCGATTGTATAAATATAGCATCATACATGTATAACATCATACATGGAACATCATAAAAGCCACAAATAAGAGGAAATCATTCAATCCATCAGGTTCAATTGTTTCTGTTTCTTTATTATCACACAGAAACCACTGGAGTAGTGGCTGCACTGGAAACAGCCCTCACACACACCCCACCTTGAATGAAAACAATTAACCACCCCAAGAGAACAGGAAGCAATCAGAGTAATTAAACTTAACCAGCATGCCTTTGAAGTTGGAGGAAAGCAGAACACCTAGAAAATTTACAATTACATCAAGTATTCTACACACAGGGAGAACAAGCAAACACCACACAAACTGTCCAGGACACAGAAGCATTGAAGCAGTTGTGCTAGGCACTGAAATGACATGAGATGGAAATAAATATGTGACTGTGAATCACTCCATGAGACAGAAATGGTGCCTTAATAACATTATATACAAAGACATCAAGTTTTGAAAGCCAAGTCTTATAGCCGTAGATTTATGAATCTTCTTTAACATCACATTATCAGCATGTTATTCAGTTTGGTCTGAATTGTGACCAAACTGTTGATTTGGATAAAAGTGTCTGGCAAATAAATGAATTAATGTAAGTAATCCTCCACGGTTTTCACACATTGCTGAAAAATGTTCCTAATTGCTGTTTGTTTTCAGTAATTTGTTTTGGTGGCAAGGGGCACTGCCTTTTTGGACTTTATTGAGTTCTGATTTTAACTAGACCTTTGAACAATGATAACAGATTATTCTAGGAAGTTTTGTGTATCTTGGTGAATTAAGATTTCCTTCAATGTACATTTCATCACAGGGCATAATGATATGATTATTGTGAAGATTTTTCTATTTATAACAAAGCTTTATCTGAAGCAGTACTGTGTACAGTATATACTGTTGATTCAATGTCCCTGTTATACTTCTCATTCTCAATACATCAAAATGTACGTGACATTCACATGCTTTTGAGGTTCTGTGTTTACTTCATTGTGCATAGTTTTCTTACTTTACTTTGACTACAGCATAGTTTTATTTCAATGACACACCTCTGTAACTGGCTAGGAGCCATATCCGAAAGCAGTGTTTCGAAATGTAGAAACAGATTCACACACGTACTGTATATAAAACCGACTCCACGCAATACATAAACCTGCCACCTCAACGGACTTTTGCAGGGGGAAATGATTTGAATAATTAATGCATTATGCGACTACACACCTTGATATTCATGGAGCAAAACATTTTTAACTGGAGCACTGCGGTACGTTCTCTCATTACATTTAAGTTATAAAAGGAACGCTAAATTGAATTGAGAGAGAGATTTATTTCAACTCACAATTAAATATATACAAATAATTATTTAATTGAATATATTATGGATTTTTTTATTATAGATCAACAATAATCAAATGTTTCTTTGGTGTATTGTTAAAGTTGGAGAACATTAAACAAGGAACAAGGAGTTGCTGTTTTTGACTATTTTTAAAACCACAACAAATGCAACCATCGCACATTACAACTACAGTACACAGAATTACAGTACATTTACCGTCATTTATGAAATGACGTACATTTATTATGAAATGTGGCGGAGAGTATTAAAGCTGGGTATCATTTAAACCAGGGAGTATTTTGTGAAAAGTGCAGTTTTCTTATCTTTATTGGATTGAATTAAAAGACAATGCTCCTCCGAAAGGACGTCTGGGTGCTAGCCGTACAGTTTCATCCTTATATTGAACTCTATACGCTTGTGCGTAATTAGAAAAAATAAGTAACTACCTTTGGCACTCCATTGTTTAAAAAAACTATTGTATATAAGTTTGTTTATATGAAAATGATATAGGAATCCTGCACTGTATTCATTCAACAGTTTTTATCCATGCATTATGGTCTTTATTTGTCCAAACTGTTCTGTTGGGTTGCTAAATCCGGTTCTTCGCATTAAAAATAAATAAAAGCAAACAACAGCACACACAGGGCCTCCCTGTTGCTATCGCTGTGTTTTGATACAAACACAGTAACAAGAGACGTCATTCGTTTTTTTTCTTCTTTGCAAACTAGCTGCTGCCAAGGCGCTGTTTCGTCACTGCCTCTACCAGTCCGCCGAAGTTACTGTTTTTTCCCGTTGTCGGAGCAACAAGGAAGGCGTGTCCTTGAACATGATTTAATAAGTAGGGAAGCCCTCTTCACGCGGTCTGTCGGTCGTTCGGGCAATAGAAGCCAGTCTCTCCATGGCAGCGACTATACCAAAGCGTAGAGGGAATCCCCGGGTCTCGCCTCTTTCGTGATCAATTTGCATCACCATTCCACAACTGCTGCTGAACTTCTCCATGTGCTGCTTCCTCTAGATATTGGCATAACGCACACTACCGCTGTATAAACCTATGCAAAACAGGCTGTGCAGTTTCTGTACAGAATATTTGAAATTTCTGAGGCGAATACAAAAACAAGTTATTTATTGATGAGGTGCGTTTTTATATTGCTGATGTTTTCCTTCTTTTTTGCTTTTAGTACTTTCTGTTGAATTCATGCTGGCTCTGGAAAAGTAGAACCAGAATGATTACATTGTTCTGTGTGTTCTCATAGGCAGCCACCAAGTGACTTCGATATGGCTCTGACCGGGACGCTTTTGCCATCCATATCTACTTTCGCCGGCGTCGAGGACAAGTCCATGGGACCTGAACCTGCTAACACTGTGAGTACACTTACACATTACCTCCGTAACGTCAGTGTTCAGGACGGTAAAGACAGATCATACAAGCTACACGCGTGCCAGTATAACATAAGATTGTGTTCTCTTGCACCGCTTCAGGATGTAACGGTAAAATTATGTTAAAGTCGGCTATCGTGATCATATTTGTTTACCTCAGTGAGAATCGTTTGCGGTTATGTAATTACAAAAAATACAAAAACAGAGATGGCATGAGTTCGGTCTCTAATGGCAAAGTGTGAATTGTCCATAGCTGGTCGTTTGTTTCAAATCACAGTAATGTATATATAGTACTGTTTCTAGATTGGAGTATTGACACAATGACAAAAGTAAAGTTTTATTCCATGCTGAAAAGAGAAGAAAAGAAACACAGTGTTTCAGCTATGGGGCCTTCATTGGGTGTGACACAGCCGAAACATTGTGCTTCTTACTTGCTCCTTTGCAGCCTACACATGCTGACCCGGCTACCTACTTGAACCACTTTACAAAATGATGTATTTTTCTGTTGAATGCAGTATTACTATTCTCATTTTTATAATGGTAGGCCAAATTTTAATGGTATTCCATACTTGACTTTATGTCACATGGTACACTGTATGTATCTGAACAACAAAGAAAAGCAGATTACTACTACTGCCAAGTGACAACTTTATGAAATGACACAAAGGTTTTGTGATATATAGAGATGGAAAGAGGAGCTGTCCCATCTGAAGAGAGCATGTGCTCCTGCTGGAGCAACAGGACCAGGCCAGGATAACCCCACTGCCTTGACCAAAAAAGAGCCTGAAGACCTGGACTTGTTGGACTATGATTTTATCCTGTCAAACTCTATGCAGCAACAAGAGCCAGTAATCACCACTTCCAAGAACTTGGCTCCATCTCCTGGCTCATACCCCTATCAACTGCCATCACCCCAGGGCACTGCCAGCAATGTGTTATACAACAGGGACACCTCTGCCTCATTCACTATCCCAGACATCAATGATGTTTCCCCCTCTGGGGGCTTTGTGGCAGAGCTCATGAGGCCAGAACTAGATCCAGCATATTTGCAGATTACTAGTTTACATGGAAAATTTGTTGTCAAGACCACTATGGATATGGCGGACTACAGCCAGACCATAAATATCAGCAAAAGCAGTACTGTCGCAAATGCCTCTCTGCCCTTCACCTGTCACAGAATCAAACAGGAGAATCCCAGCACTTGCACCGTCACCAGACCTGTGGATCTGCACCAAGGAAGTAAGTCAGCCTCTGGGAGTAGCCAAAAATCCCTGGTGGACCAGCACAACTTTCCTTCTGGGCAGCCAGTGACAGGTTGCCCTTCCACATCACTCTCTGCAGAGGAAGTCATGAATAGAGAACACCATCTCTCCCCAGAGGTTTTAAACCACCCACCACTGTCTCTTCCCCAGGGCTACCATACTTCTGTTAACTACCCTTCTTTCCAGCAGCAATCTTCACTGCAATACCAAGGTCAGTCCTATTTAAAGATGTTTAAGTCTTTAAACTTTCCACATCTGGTTAAAGGGGTGATGCTGACTCCTCCCTCTTCATTTTAGAGCTCATGTCCCAAGGAAACTGCTTGCCAGAGGAACCCAAACCCAGACGAGGCCGTCGATCTTGGCCAAGGAAAAGGATAGCAACCCACACATGTGACTATGTGGGCTGTGGCAAAACCTACACTAAGAGCTCTCACCTCAAGGCACATCATCGTACTCACACAGGTAAGGTTTGATGAAAACAGGAAATAATATGAAATGCACATATAGTTGAAATATAGAAAGTGCACACGTAATATAAAAATGCACATATAATATAATAAAGAAAGTGTTCAATTTGTGTCAATCCAATGCATGTTCTTCACAACACTATTTTAAATACTAACTCACCAATGTTCATAGTATTGGACATAGCATGGCTTAATACAATGCTATATTATATGAAGTGTTTATGTTTTTATAACTCACTTTAGCAAGCCTTTTTTATGTTGTATGCAACAGTATGCAGTCAGAAACATAAATAAATATAAAATAAATGCTTTATTTTAGGAAATCACACTACGAGAGAGCTATGTTTTTTGTCATGTGACAAGTAGAATAGAACCATTCAGGCTGATGAAAATAATACCTATTTTGATATTTAAGGGCACAGCTTTGCATTTACCCTTTCATACCAGGGAACGTAAGGACAAGGTGGTGCTATATGTATAGATTACTAAAGGTTTTATTCCTTGTGCGGAATGGCAATGTGTTTTTTGTTTTGTTTTAGGAGAGAAGCCTTATCATTGTGATTGGGAGGGATGTGGCTGGAAATTTGCCCGCTCTGATGAACTGACACGCCACTACAGGAAACACACAGGACATCGCCCATTCCAGTGTCAGAAATGTGACCGGGCTTTTTCAAGGTCAGATCATCTGGCATTGCACATGAAGCGGCACTTGTAAATTGACAGTCAAAAAATAGGACCTGTACTAAACTGCCTTTGTACAGTCTGCATTCTAGCCTCATCTCCTCGGGGCAAGGAACTGCTGCCAGAGCTGTAACTTCAATGCTATGACACTAGTCTTCCAGAGCCTAGAGATTTCCTAATTCACTACAGATATCACAGATATTAGTCATCCCAAGACGATCACTCTCTGTTTAAGTGATGGTCTTCTGAACTGGAATTTCTGCTTTTACCAGGGCGAGACTTGGAGGACCAGGTGCCAAAACATGACTTGAAAATAGTAGACATCAGGGAAAAAAACAGAACGACTTTGACCAACAACATTCCCTTTGTCTTCCCTTGAATGTTGTTCATTAAACATATATAAACAGATATTTTTAATATTACTCTTGAAAGCCATTTTTTACATATATTCTTCAGGTACAAACGTATTTTATAGGATTTTATTGGATGGTGCTCATTGATATAAATGTATTTAAAGGTACCAAAGGGAAAAGGAAGCCATTAGTGCCACATGCTTGTCTGTGATTTTTATTGAAATCTCTCTCCCACATACTGTACTTGACCAAAATCAGGTAAATGTTTTTCCTTTTAATGGTGAGGATAATCTATCTGCTGTGGGTGCAATGTGCAATAACCTATAAAGTTTAGTTACAGTAAATTCAACATGCATTAAACACTCAGAACAAAGTATTTTTGTCTAAAAAATGTAAAATATTTTTAAGTAATGTTTAGTTTTGTACATCTGTAAATATAAACGTATTTCTTAAGGATGATGTTTTATGTATTCTTTTACAATTCCCTAAATAAAACAATAGTATTTAAATACATTTTCTTTCACAATGTTTCCAAAAAAATGTGTTCTTATCAACATATCAATGTACAGTTTTTTTCAATATTGCTCTAGAAAGGAACACATCTCTCATTTTCCACTCTGTCCCTGACAGTTACAACCAAACCTGTCAAAAGAGGTTTATATAAATGCCTAAAGATATTTTAACTACGAAAAAGATTTTTACTGTGATAGGTTCCCTTTAAGTAGTGTGATGTCACTACCATATATTTGTTTTTTGTTCTAAAAAAATAAATTTGTGTTCTTATGTGTAAATGTAAATGCATTGCAGTCTATGACAAATAGGAATACCCAGTCATTGTCTATTGAATGTGCTTGTGGGAAGCCTCAAATTTCTTAAGAAATATCAACAAACTGTTGCTAATATAACATTCCAGCTAATAACATTTTCCCCTTAATAACTTGTTAATGGGAAATTTTAAAAATAGAAAAAACTTTATGGAATTTGACCATAGCAAGAGGTTCTGCATATACCTGTTATTTATGCTTAAATTAAGTTCACCTCAATGTATTAATTCATAATGTATACATATGTTGGGATAACGCAAAACTATAATTATATATAATATGAATATTATATATATTATGTATACTATAAATAATAATTATATTGTAATCTTCAGCATATTTCCTATAAAAGCTTAATATTTAAAAAAGTTTTGTTATTCTAAAATGATTTCATAACACAGCTCGCAAGTGTCTTCATAAGTTAATGGGAAACTTGCCCAGAGCATGGTTAGGCAACATCATAGCTAAATAAAAATTATACCCTGAAGAGAACATATTAACAAAACCTGTTTCCATGCTATTCTTTTTTTTCATTATGTTATCTATTTACCAAGCGTACTCAGATTCACCACATACAGAACAACATATGTGCAACATATGTGTAAGTTATTATTCAGTTCTTGCTTATTGTCCTGTGAAAGTTTCAATTTACATTTTTCAACCTGAAATAATATAGTATTAATTCTACCAAACACATTTAACTTAACCTGCATTCTTCTCAAATGAATATAATTTTGTTAGTCAAATAAACAAGTTAAGGTAAAATAAATAGTGAAAGAAGCCCTGATAGAGATTTAACACCTAATAACAAATTCATTCAAGTCGTTTACACAACCACACATTGTATTAAGAGGAAATATGCTTTCTTTGATGCATTAATCACCAAATATGTTTTAAAATGTTTTTGTTTTTCTGCATATGTCCAAAAGCAGGTCTGGAACAAGGCACATACTGAACAAGACTGTCAGTGAGTGCTGCAGTTTAAAAAAATCAAAGCTTGTTGTTAAGTACCAAAGTACACTCCCCAGACTCAATTTCCTATTTTTAAGAACCCATATAAAATATGATTTACAACAAGACTTATGTGGATTTTATTAGCAGAAAGGATGACTTGATAGACAATTAAAATGCGTTAAAAGAAACATCAGTTTTGGAGAAGGAAATTGTCCAAAACCAAGGCATTTTTTAAAGTAATGTGGTGATGGCAGCTAATCAGGCAATTGTGAAGTATTAGGAAAAAGCCATATTTCCATCTCCAAAAAATAGTGGGAGTGTTAGCTTAGAGTATGCATTGTTCTTTCAAATACGCATCAAAAGGCATGTTGAGGGAGGAGTGGTGGCACTCTGGCTAAGGATCTGCACCTGTGGCTAGAAGGTTGCCAGTTCAAACCCTGTGGCTGGCAGAGAGATCCTACTCCATTGGGCTCCTGAGCAAAGCCCTTAACCCTAACTGCTCCAGGGGCACTGTACAATGTCTGACCCCCAGGCTTCTCTTTTACTGTCTGTGTGTCTGTATCTAATTGAGAGCAAGCTGGGGTATGTGAAAAGATGAATTCATAATGCAAGAAATTGTATATGGCTAATAAAGTGAACTTATCTTATCTAAAAGATTTGGTTCCAACATTCTTACAGCTCTAAGAAAGAAAACAGATTCCGTTGTCTACTAGAACAAAAAGGAAGTAGGATAAAAACACGAAATGTTCTGCATTATTGTGTCATTATTAATGTCTTTTTACCCTTCTCTTATTCGGACACAATTCTTGGAAAACTGTTTTTGGAAGGGGCCAGAAGTCTGTAATGTTTTTATGGCTATGGCTAAAAGCTTTGTATCACCTGCTATAATACCATCAGTATCACAAAGCTTTTAGTCATTGCTGTAGTACTAAGCCTCTGGTAGTATATCAGTCACAATCCACAAATTCTAACCTTTACTGCCCCTTTAGGACTAAACACATCTAATTTCTTCCACTCAAAACATTTGAAGCTATTTGAAGTTTGAGTTGGTATTGTTCAGTTGCTTACATTCAATACTCTCAATAGGAGAGTAAATATAAAGAGATAATAAAGCATACCATTATTATATCCATTCATGTTTACAGTATGAAACAGCTTAAGCTGTTCATGCATATCACTTGTGAGATTGTTAAAAATGTACATTTTAGGTGGTCATAAACAACATAAAAACCACTTAGTACAATTACTTGTGGCTTTTGGTGTTAAAAGTACACAAATTTAAATGAAAAAAAGGAGACTTGAGTCATAGTGAATAATAATATTAATGATGTGGAAAAACTATACAGTATATTGTATACAGCATACAGAAGTCTTGTATTAGGAGAACATCTTAAATTGGTTTTAGTGAAAATATTTCATGAGTTGTAGGATAAAGAAGTTCTAAGAGCAACAAAAGCAGGCTTTACTGAGCAGAAAATAATATAACAGAGCCCTGTAAAAGCAGTATTTATGTTAATTCTCTCTTGGGTGGCACAAATTGCTTTTTGTTGGGAAACAGTCAAATTTGCCTTGCTTTCCTGTAGTCTTTTCTGCTACTTGGAACCCTCTCAACATGTATAGCACTGTTTCTGCTATACTGCTACTGCTACCAAGATATCAGTCTTTGGAGACTGACATTTCCAGGGAGCTCCTGTTGCATCCAGAGAGTAAGGTTCTGTCATTCTACCCAAATTACCATAGCATTTCATCATGGGTTCTAAGATGAATGACTCGTATACCACTAGGTCTTAAAGTAAAAAGTGCATGGTTTATTGAGCAGTAAGTGATAAAAGAAACCATGTAAGCAGAGTGGTCAGCAATGGGTAATTTCTGAACCTGGGGTGCTAACTGTGTGGAGTTTCCTCCCTCAGTCCAAAGACATACTGGTAGATAAGTAGACTTCTGGGAAATTTGGCCCTGGTGTGAAAGTATGTCTGTGTGTGCCCTGCGAAGGACTGGCATCTTTTACAGGGGTAACCTGCCTTGTGTCTGATGCTTACCAGGATAGGCACTGGCTTGCCCATGATCCAAGTACTGAATAAAGCGGTGAAAAGAAAATGAATGGATGGATGGCAATTAAAATTATAATGTTAATGCACTCCAGCATGTCCCTGGTATGTGAGTGTAACTGTAGGGCTCAAGATTCTTTTCTGTGTTTCTCCAAGACATAGTGAAACAACTTTTATATCTAAAGATGCTTATCTTAATATTTCTAGAACCATCTGTAGCATTTTCATATCAACTGGTATGAAACTAAAGAATTAAAAAAAACAAAAGATTCACAAAAATATAAATAAAACACATTATTGCTGGTTTTAAAAATTAAACATTGGATTCTGCAGAATGACTGACACCAGTACCTCTAACTCCACCTTGTGGATTATACTAGAATTGCATTCTGCTTTGAAGGTATGAAAACATCTTCTTAACAGTAGACAATTAATAATAATAATAATAATAATAATAATAATAATAATAATTGCTTACACTTTTATACTGCTTTTCTGGACACTTCACTCAAAGCGCTTTACAGGTAATGGGGACTCCACCACCACCAATGTGCAGTATCTACCTGGATGATGCGACAGCAGCCATAGAGAGCCAGAACGGCTCACCACACATCAGCTATCAGTGAGGAGGAGAGCAGAGTAATGAAGCCAATTCATAGATTGGGATTATTAGGAGGCTATGATTGGTAAGGGCCAATGGGAAATTTGGCCAGGACGCCAGGGTTACACCCCTACTCTTTTCGAGAAACGCCCTGGGATTTTTAATGACCACATTAAAAGGTTTTACATCTCATCCGAAGGACAGCGCCTGTTTACAGTACAGTGTCCCCATCACTACACTGGGGCATTAGGACCCACATGAGCCACAGGGTGAGCACCCCCTGCTGGCCCCATTAACACCTCTTCCAGCAGCAACCTTAGTTTTTCCCAGGAGGTCTCCTATCCAGGTACTGACCAAGCTCACGCCTGCTTAGCTTCAGTGGGTTGCCAGTTGTGAGTTGCAGGGTGATATGGCTGCTGGCCATTATTAGCAGTGAGATAAGTTCAGTATTTAACGTCTTCCCATATTACACAACATGTTACAATTTAAAAAAGCATAAAAGCAAAGCTGCAATATTTGTTTTTTAATGCCTTTGTGTATTTTTTTTCCATAAGAGAGACTTCTCTGAACTGCTGATTGTTAGTGGAAGATTTGGAGACCAGAGGCATTATACTGATGTCACTGAGAGCTTTAGAATCATAGGTGGAGCTGATTAGGTGTAAAATGTTGCCACGTACATCTATAAAGAAACAAAATATGTTCCTCTTTTGCAAAGTGAAAGTGGTCCAGAAATTTCCAGAAGAAGCTCCAGCAACTGAGAGAGCACCATGAGATGAAACAGGCTTGCAAATTCCATATGATTGGAGACATGCTCTTTATTTAATCAGCACCTCTATAGCAAAAAGATAATGACACAGAGGAACATAAGATCATAATTCTATCCTTCTCTTTATGCTAATCAAGAAGGAATGAGAAGGGGAAATGAGGTATGCCCAGTTGGCCCATCTTACTTGTTTGGTAGTTTGTCCACTAAGTCATTTAAACAACTCTTATTTTTATTCTATTTATGTTTTAATGAATTTGGACCTGAACCACCTTAATGAGAAGCCAGTTTTCAAGTGTCCAATGCTCTTTGAGTAAACAAGTGTTTTGATTTCTCTATCCTAAATCAATTTCACTAAGTTTACAATCTTTGTGACATTGTTTCACTACAGAGTGAAAAAGGTTCAACATAAGAGACTTTATCTATACCTGTACCACTTAGGAGTTTTTATACCTATATTTTTAGACCTGCACTATCTCCATTAAAGGGGAACAGCAATGTTATTTTTATATTTCAAGGTTAGAAAGAATCAGCATTGATGAGTACACTTCAAACCACAATAACTTAACTTAACTTACAAGTTAAGTTTACATTAACTTGT